ATCCGTGTTTTCTTTACGTCCTGTATAGCCGACGACAACGGCGTCGAGCACATCGTCTCAAATAAGAACAATACCAAGCGAAACTAGTCAAACATCTGTCAAGACTAGCGCTACGATAACTGCTTCCGCAATTAATGCGACGGTGATTTTCTGAGTTTTTTCTGTTCTTTTCTCTTTTGTATTACCGCAGTTGTCTGTGCTGGTACTGTGATACCATCAGGAGTAGGTAGTTGTGCGACAAGGTTGTATGGTTGTGGAGCACGGACGGATTATTTACTAATGAGAGCAGATATGCAACTGTCGGACGCCGTTTGACTTCATCTTTGGGCTGTGAGTAGGACACAGTAAGAGTACGAATACCTTGAAAGTGTTCGTGCCCATGACTCTTGAAGACCCGGTTGTCTGGAAAACCAGTTTTTCAAGGACTCCTGAATATAACTAGAACTTCTTTTTAATGAGATATGATTGGCGCTTAAATTTGTGATTAGAAGGAGACGTGTTCCAGCTCTACGTGACCTTTCTTTGGAAAGTTATAGAATTTACAAGAAAACCCTTAAATCAATTTCTTCTTATTCCTTCAGCTTTCAGCTGACAATGAACAGTTAGGGCTTTTCCTGTAAATTCTATAACTTTGCAAAGAAAGGCCACGTAGAGCTGGAAGGCGTCTCATTTTAATCACAAATTTACGGGCTACAATCATATTTCATTAAAAGGAAGTTTTAGGTATCTTATAGAGTTCTTGAAAAACTGTTTTTCTGGAAAACGGGGTCTTCAGGAGTCATGTGCACGAACCTTTTTAAGGTCTTCTTGATCTTACTGTGTCCTACTCATAGCCAAAAGGTGAGGCCGTACGGCGTCCGACAGTTGGATATGTTCCCTCGTAAGTTCTAGCCTTTTTGGAAGTTTTGTGTTTGTAGGTTGATATGAATTCAACGTGTAGAGAGTTCGTTGCATCCATGTAATAAGCGCGATGATGTTGTTTGTCGTTGCGCATACACTAAATATCGAACAATTGTCGCTTTTGTTTCTAGAATTCAGGGGCTACTTATTCTCATTCTACATTACTTTGAGTAATGGGTGTTTTGTTTTCCTCGTCTATAGCTGATGACAACGTCGTCGAGCACATCGTCTGAAATAGCAACAATAACAGGTGGAACTAGTCAAACATCTGTCGAGATTAGCGCTATGATGACTACATCCACAATCGGTAGAACGGTAATTTTCTCAGGTTTTCAAGTTTTTCTGCTTTTGTATTACTGCAATTGCCGGTGCTAGTACTGCGATACTATCAGGAGTATCATGGGCAGTTACGTTTGTCGGGAATATCACTGATCGTTGTATAGTGGTGGCTGCAGCAGGTCAAAACGGCGACTGACTGAATTAGAAGCCGCGATTTAAGGACAGCCGCGTATTAATGTGGCTCTTTCGAGGAAAAGAATTCGTTTGTGGACATCCGATTTGCTTCTAGAATTCTACATTGGCAATAGCCTCAATGGTGACAGCTAGTTCTAGTGTGATCAATACTATGGTAACCGACAATTTATTCTCATTTTAAATTACTTTGAGTAATTGGTGTTTTGTCTTCTCGTCTATAGCCGGTGACAACGCCGTCGAGCACAGCGTCTCGAATAGCAACAATAACAAGTGGAACTGGTGAAACATCTCTGAATACGACAACTGCATTCACAATCAGCACAACGGTAGTTCTCGCAAGTTTTCAAGTTTTTCGGCTTTTTATAGTACTTGAATTCTCTGTGCTCGTGATGCGATACTAAATAGAGTAGAAAGGACATTTTTCTCCAACGAAATATGTATCAATTGAATGTGAGCGAAATCGAAAATTTTGTTAATTCTTTCGTGAATATGGGTTGTCGTTGTGTAGTGTAGAGCTTTGACAGTTACCATTAGCGTTACAGTAAGTGTAACTGCTGAACAGTTGACGTTCTTGATAACGCTAACGGATAAGCTGTTACCGTACAAGTAACGATAACGACCAGTTACAAGTAACGGTAACTGTTCAGTATATCTTTCAAGAGTCAAATCTCTAAATATCTAGATATCCAGGGTCAGGGTGAAAGTTCGTAGCCTCACCCCGGATACCTAGATATTNAGTTATTTTTTTATTTGTTTATTGAAATATATACTTATCAGTTACCGTTACTTGTAACTGGTCGTTATCGTTACTTGTACGGTAACTGCTTATCCGTTATCGTTACTAAGAACGTCAACTGTTCAACAGTTACAGTTACCGAGTAACGGTGGTAACAGTAACTGGTAACTGTCACAGCCCTAGTATAGTGGTAGCTACAGCAGTTGAAAACGGTGACTGACTCGATGAGAAAGGGCACGATAACGCAAGCCGCATATTAATACAACAATATCGAAGGAACGAATTCGTTTGTAAACATCGCATTTGCTTCTAGAATTCTACATTGGCAATAACCTCAATGGTGACAGCTGGTACTAGTATTATCAATAGTACGGTAAGCGACAATTTATTCTCATTTAAAATTATTTTGAGTAATGGGTGGTTTGGTTCTTTCTGTATAGCCCGTGACAACGCCGCCGAGCACATCGTCTCAAACAATAACAAGCGGAACTAGTCAAACATCTGTCAAGACTAGCGCTAGAATAACTGCATCCACAATCAGCGCGACGGTAGGTTTGGGTGATGGGTTTTGGTGTCAGGAATATATGTTTGTTTGTATTTGGTTAGAGCTATCCGATTACTGTTATGTTCGGTACTTGCCCGTACCGGTTCGATAGTGCTTTTGAAGTTACGGTCAATTGTTCTGCTGAGATGGTGTCAAGCACAATAGCTAGTTTTACAAATAGTTCGCTATCTCAAAATGTTAGTAAAGTTATTGTGGTCGACCAGCCACCGATGTCGAAGCTTAGCCCATATTTGTGCAACTTACCTTCGAGACAGATTGATCTTAGTGGTCAGCAGTTTGTGGTGCTTGACGATGATACATTTCCTTGCAACAATAGCTATTATAGAACGATTAATTTGACAGATAATCAGATATCGTCGGTCAATATCACTTTGCGTGATTGGGATGTCATTGACCTGAGCAGAAATAGTTTGACAGTGCTTCCGTACACTATTTTGTTGGATAGGCCAATTGTGTTGTCTCGGTTCTCTTTGTCTCATGTGGTTGTTGTCGGGTACGGAGCAAAAGTAGTGAATTTAGAATCTAATGAACTTCATGCTATGGATTTATGGGCATATGCATCGGATAATATAACGGTTGATTTGACAATGAATGATTTTCATATAGTGGATGGTTTCACAGTTGTTATGAATATGCTAAATCTTCCATTAATAGATGTTCCCGACGAGGATAGTACTGTACAATTACCAACATCTTTGAAATTCCTAGTTAATGACACATTAGCGGAAAACTATGGAACATGCAATCAAACAACGTTGGTCTATTTAATAGAATTTCTGGAAAAACTGCAAAACTCGTCTAATGTTTCATTAGATTGTACATGTGCTTCAGTAAATTTGAGAACTCAATATCGGATATTGTATGCAGCAAATATTACAGACAAATTTCCGTGTAGCAATGAAATGGTGACAGATTCATTTTTAGAACTAAATTGTACAAACATGACGAACATGAATCCTACTGCTATGTGTAATTTTACAGCACTAAAGGTACGTATACAGGATTAGATGTCTGTTAATTTAATGAGAAGTGCTCTCATCTGCGCTCAAAAACTATTTCGAAAATACTTGAAATAATATTGTTACTTCGACTTTATCTCGTGGGATTAAGCATTTAACAAAAATCTTTACAATCTTATTGATTCATCTCATTTATTTACCAAAAGGTCGATTCTTCCACTGCATTGTCGACTTTTACGGCGTCAAATGGACAATCTAATTTAGCAATCATTTTGGGCTCTGTTTTGGGGTCTGTGGGATTTTTAATATTGATTAGTACAGTATGCGCTGTTCTATATTGGAAATTTAAAGAACCAAAGAGTTCTGTCAGTCCGCTTGCCAGGAATAAGACAGTAGCAGCAGCGCATAGTTATGAAAGAGCCCCTGAATCACGATTAGAAGAGCGTATTCAAACAAGAAATCCACGTATACTACGTCGACTACCACCATTACAAACGCAAATATCTCAACTAGGTGAAACACTTCATAATGTCCACAGTGAACATCGTGCAACTGCCAACAATGCCCCTAATTCTGGATTGTCTGTACGTGGTATTTCTGTGGATAATATATTGTCCAGAAATGTGGCACGGTAATGTAATTGTTAAAACTATTATGCGAATACTATTTCACTAACTTAGAAAAACTATTCTTATTATGTGTAATACTAGAGGAGTATATATAAAAAGTTGTTATAATAACATCTACCAAATCTCAAAGAGAGAAATTTTAATTTGTTTATATTGAAAATTAAATGTTTTTGTTTAGACCTACAACAGAGCATTTTGTTCCACTCTATCCACCGTACTCAAATTCTCCAGCAGTGGCATCACCAAATCTTCAACCTACCAAATCGTCTCCATCACGAAAATACATCAATCCACAACAACACGTACAGCCAACCGGTTCATACAATCAGTTTTCAGAACCATGACGCCCATATAATTAACTGTATATGACATAAATAACTTTAGTCTACTTTTATCTGTAATATCTAGTGATATGATTGATGTGGCAATATTAGAGAACTTTTCTATTTTTATTTTATAAGTCTGATGTCGGCATTTAAACGTAAATTACGCAAAATGCTTAATAGGTTATTTTTATCCCGGAAATTTTTATTGTGCATAATGACGTTTTTGTTTAATTGACCTTCCTTATCATGTCTGAAATGCACAGTTTAGGAGTAATTAAATACTTAATAATTAAATTAAATTAAGATTTCGACGGTATTATAAAATGGTTTATTATACTTTATTGAAATGTCCGATCAACATAGTTATTTTGTAGATAATCTTTGGTTGTATATAATAAGCTTTAAAAAGTTTGAAAAGTTTTACAACGACATAAGGTTTTTTAAGTGAAACATTGTAAAAAAAGTGTTTTTTTTCTACTTTTAAGCATAAAAAGTAATTTTTTGAAAATCTTGCCAGCGGCTGCACGATAATAGAGAACGTCCAAGGAAATTTTCGCTAGCGAAGTTGTAGCCGATGCTATTCTGCATGAGATAAGCGGGAAGGCATTTTACAACAAATTTTGAACGGAAGTTAAATGAAAATTTAAAAAATTTTTAATTAATAATTTTTTAACGTTTTTGTCGTTAGAAAAGAAAAATTGTTTCTCTTATCCCACATAAAATTTCATAGGTAGCAAGTTTTGTTCTAACAGTTTTTATGAGTTATGATTTGCATAGTCAGATCGGTGGCGAGATTTTCGGGGCACCGGATGCTAAAAATTGAAAATTACAAAAAAAGCATTTTTTTCTCACAATTTTAGACAGATTTTGTGGAATGTACACTAGGAAAAATACAGAGCAGCATAGACAGTTTATGAAGCCAACGTCTATTTTCAGAATTCTTGAACGTTGGGAAATCTTAAATTATGAAAAATCATCTTCCATCGCATTCTTGCTGCTTGATTAATAACAGAAATCCATCGAAGGATATCAAAATATACAGAGTTATAAAAAATAACTTCGCATAAATGTCACATCAAAAAACACCGGCAGCATACTCTGATATGTCTGCTGCTACATTCTGCGATCTTTTGTGCTCCTGTATTTTTTTCTGGATTATGTTACCGCGTATTTCTGTGTTATATTGATGCTTTTTGACCTTTTTACGTTTTTAATGAAACATAGTATATTCAAAATTATAGAAAAGAATTTAAGTAAAATCATTTTACATACAAACAGCAAGCTTTCTACAATATCACAGTATCA